CAGTATAAAGTATACAGTATAAAGTATACAGTATAAAGTATACTGTATAAAGTATACTGTATAAAGTATACAGTATAAAGTATACAGTATAAAGTATACAGTATAAAGTATAGAGTTTAAAGTATACAGTATAAAGTATACAGTATAAAGTATACAGTATAAAGTATACAGTATAAAGTATACAGTATAAAGTATACAGTATAAAGTATACAGTATAAAGTATACAGTATAAAGTAAACAGTATAAAGTATACAGTATAAAGTATAAAGTATAAAGTATACAGTATAAAGTATACAGTATAAAGTATACAGAATAAAGTATACAGTATAAAGTATACAGTATAAAGTATAAAGTATAAAGTATACAGTATAAAGTATACAGTATAAAGTATAGAGTTTAAAGTATACAGTATAAAGTATACAGTATAAAGTATACAGTATAAAGTATAAAGTATACAGTATAAAGTATAGAGTTTAAAGTATACAGTATAAAGTATACAGTATAAAGTATACAGTATAAAGTATACAGTATAAAGTATACAGTGTAAAGTATACAGTATAAAGTATACAGTATAAAGTATACAGTATAAAGTATACAGTGTAAAGTATACAGTGTAAAGTATACAGTATAAAGTATACAGTGTAAAGTATACAGTATAAAGTATACATTATAAAGTATACAGTATAAAGTATACAGTATAAAGTATACAGTGTAAAGTATACAGTATAAAGTATACATTATAAAGTATACAGTATAAAGTATACAGTATAAAGTATACAGTATAAAGTATACAGTATAAAGTATACAGTATAAAGTATACAGTATAAAGTATACAGTATACAGTATAAAGTATACAGTATAAAGTATACAGTATAAAGTATACAGTATAAAGTATACAGTATAAAGTATACAGTATAAAGTATACAGTATAAAGTATACAGTATAAAGTATACAGTATAAAGTATACAGTATAAAGTAACAGTATAAAGTAAACAGTACAGTATAAAGTATACAGTATAAAGTATACAGTATAAAGTATACAGTATAAAGTATACAGTATAAAGTATACAGTATACAGTATAAAGTATACAGTATAAAGTATACAGTATAAAGTATACAGTATAAAGTATACAGTATAAAGTATACAGTATAAAGTATACAGTATAAAGTATACAGTATAAAGTATACAGTATAAAGTATACAGTATAAAGTATACAGTATAAAGTATACAGTATAAAGTATACAGTATAAAGTATACAGTATAAAGTATACAGTATAAAGTATACAGTATAAAGTATACAGTATAAAGTATACAGTATAAAGTATACAGTATAAAGTATACAGTATAAAGTATACAGTATAAAGTATACAGTATAAAGTATACAGTATAAAGTATACAGTATAAAGTATACAGTATAAAGTATACAGTATAAAGTATACAGTATACAGTATAGAGTATACAGTATAAAGTATACAGTATAAAGTATACAGTATAAAGTATACAGTATAAAGTATACAGTATAAAGTATACAGTATAAAGTATACAGTATAAAGTATACAGTATAAAGTATACAGTATACAGTATAAAGTATACAGTATAAAGTATACAGTATAAAGTATACAGTATAAAGTATACAGTATAAAGTATACAGTATAAAGTATACAGTATAAAGTATACAGTATAAAGTATACAGTATAAAGTATACAGTATAAAGTATACAGTATAAAGTATACAGTATAAAGTATACAGTATAAAGTATACAGTATAAAGTATACAGTATAAAGTATACAGTATAAAGTATACAGTATAAAGTATACAGTATACAGTATAAAGTATACAGTATAAAGTATACAGTATAAAGTATACAGTATAAAGTATACAGTATAAAGTATACAGTATAAAGTATACAGTATAAAGTATACAGTATAAAGTATACAGTATAAAGTATACAGTATAAAGTATAAAGTATACAATAAAGTATACAGTATAAAGTATACAGTATAAAGTATACAGTATAAAGTATACAGTATAAAGTATACAGTATACAGTATAAAGTATACAGTATAAAGTATACAGTATAAAGTATACAGTATAAAGTATACAGTATAAAGTATACAGTATAAAGTATACAGTATAAAGTATACAGTATAAAGTATACAGTATAAAGTATACAGTATAAAGTATACAGTATAAAGTATACAGTATAAAGTATACAGTATAAAGTATACAGTATAAAGTATACAGTATAAAGTATACAGTATAAAGTATACAGTATAAAGTATACAGTATAAAGTATACAGTATAAAGTATACAGTATAAAGTATACAGTATAAAGTATACAGTATAAAGTATACAGTATATATAAGTATACAGTATAAAGTATAAAGTATACAGTATAGAGTATACAGTATAAAGTATACAGTATAAAGTATACAATATAAAGTATACAGTATAAAGTATACAGTATAAAGTATACAGTATAAAGTATACAGTATAAAGTATACAGTATAAAGTATACAGTATAAAGTATACAGTATAAAGTATACAGTATAAAGTATACAGTATAAAGTATACAGTATAAAGTATACAGTATGAAGTATACATTATAAAGTATACAGTACAAAGTATACAGTATAAAGTATACAGTATAAAGTATACAGTATAAAGTATACAGTATAAAGTATACAGTATAAAGTATACAGTATAAAGTATACAGTATAAAGTATACAGTATAAAGTATACAGTATAAAGTATACAGTATAAAGTATACAGTATAAAGTATAAAGTATAAAGTATACAGTATAAAGTATAAAGTATAAAGTATAAAGTATACAGTATAAAGTATACAGTATAAAGTATACAGTATAAAGTATACAGTATAAAGTATACAGTATAAAGTATACAGTATAAAGTATACAGTATAAAGTATACAGTATAAAGTATACAGTATAAAGTATACAGTATAAAGTATACAGTATAAAGTATACAGTATAAAGTATACAGTATAAAGTATACAGTATAAAGTATACAGTATAAAGTATACAGTATAAAGTATACAGTATAAAGTATACAGTATAAAGTATACAGTATAAAGTATACAATATAAAGTATACAATATAAAGTATACAGTATAAAGTATAAAGTATACAGTATAGAGTATACAGTATAAAGTATACAATATAAAGTATACAATATAAAGTATACAGTATAAAGTATACAGTATAAAGTATACAGTATAAAGTATAAAGTATACAGTATAAAGTATACAGTATAAAGTATACAGTATAAAGTATACAGTATAAAGTATACAGTATAAAGTATACAGTATAAAGTATACAGTATAAAGTATACAGTATAAAGTATACAGTATAAAGTATACAGTATAAAGTATACAGTATAAAGTATACAGTATAAAGTATACAGTATAAAGTATACAGTATAAAGTATACAGTATAAAGTATACAGTATAAAGTATACAGTATAAAGTATACAGTATAAAGTATACAGTATAAAGTATACAGTATAAAGTATACAGTATAAAGTATACAGTATAAAGTATACAGTATAAAGTATACAGTATAAAGTATACAGTATAAAGTATACAGTATAAAGTATACAGTATAAAGTATACAGTATAAAGTATACAGTATAAAGTATACAGTATAATAGTATAAAGTATACAGTATAAAGTATACAGTATACAGTATAAAGTATACAGTATAAAGTATACAGTATAAAGTATACAGTATAAAGTATACAGTATAAAGTATACAGTATAAAGTATACAGTATAAAGTATACAGTATAAAGTATACAGTATAAAGTATACAGTATAAAGTATACAGTATAAAGTATACAGTATAAAGTATACAGTATAAAGTATACAGTATAAAGTATACAGTATAAAGTATACAGTATAAAGTATACAGTATAAAGTATACAGTATAAAGTATACAGTATAAAGTATACAGTATAAAGTATACAGTATAAAGTATACAGTATAAAGTATACAGTATAAAGTATACAGTATAAAGTATACAGTATAAAGTATACAGTATAAAGTATACAGTATAAAGTATACAGTATAAAGTATACAGTATACAGTATACAGTATACAGTATAAAGTATACAGTATACAGTATAAAGTATACAGTATAAAGCATACAGTATAAAGTATACAGTATAAAGTATACAGTATAAAGTATACAGTATAAAGTATACAGTATAAAGTATACAGTATAAAGTATACAGTATAAAGTATACAGTATAAAGTATACAGTATAAAGTATACAGTATAAAGTATACAGTATAAAGTATACAGTATAAAGTATACAGTATAAAGTATACAGTATAAAGTATACAGTATAAAGTATACAGTATAAAGTATACAGTATAAAGTATACAGTATAAAGTATACAGTATAAAGTATACAGTATAAAGTATACAGTATAAAGTATACAGTATAAAGTATACAGTATAAAGTATACAGTATAAAGTATACAGTATAAAGTATACAGTATAAAGTATACAGTATAAAGTATACAATATAAAGTATACAGTATAAAGTATACAGTATAAAGTATACAGTATAAAGTATACAGTATAAAGTATACAGTATAAAGTATACAGTATAAAGTATACAGTATAAAGTATACAGTATAAAGTGTAAAGTGATGGTTATAAAAATTGTACATGGGCGAATTGATATCATTGGATTAGTTGACAGATGACGTATTTAACATTAACATATAACATAAACTGACAGATAATGTGACATATAAAATGACACAGATAACGTGACAGACATGGAGATATAAATCGTGATAGATAGTCTTCAATGCCGTCAATAAAAATGGGTCCATGGGGCATGTAGCGGTATGGGGGCAGTATAGGTAGCATAAGAATGGCATGAAAGCGTGAAGAGTAATGGGTGGCGTTAGAGAATGTAAAAGGGACGTGGTTGATTTAAGAAGACGTATTTGACATATTTATTTTTTTAGGTAACCGGTATTGTTGGAAGAGCTGACGTTTTGGCATGTGTCTTTTTCCTTATGTCAATACTGTTATACCACAGGTAAACATGCTTTTTGGAAATTTTTTAAATGCCAATATTTAAGTGCTGATTCTTCAGACTATAAAGTTACGTTTTAATTCTTAGTAATCCGAGCGGAAAGTCCTATCTAAAATCGAGCATATTCCTAGCAGGATTCAGCATGTTAGCAAAGGAAACCGGAATAACAGCGTTTCTTCTTAATTTAACTTTGGACCTCTACTTCACTTGGCCATATATGAGAAGGTTAGTAATAGATTAATTGACCTGAAAATATGGAAAAAAAAAATCAAATTTGTTCACTTTTAGGCCAAAACACTTTCTTAAATGGAATAAAGAAACATGCCTTTTTGTTAATCGTACTGCTAAAGTTCTTACTTCAGTGAGTATAATTTTAAATTTTCTATGTATTGTAACTTGACAAAGCATTCTGAAAAATCACCTTTAAATACTATGAAATGCTATAATTCTAGTTAAAACCCCTTTATTTTTCAGTTTGGCATCTTATTGTCTCTTCGTCTGGCTATCTTGCAGGGATCCCTACCGAAATTTTCCCAACAAGACAACCCAACTGCCTTTCATCCTTCTATTTTCGTAAGGTAACTAATTTGGCACATCTAATGCATATAATTTTAAAGACTAAACTCAATTTCAGATTCTCAACTTACTCTTACCTGGTGGCATTCAACTTTTGGTTACTTTTATGCCCTTGGACGCTGTCCCACGACTGGCAAATGGGATCAATACCTTTAGTAACGTCCCTATATGATCCCAGAAATTTACTGACAGTATTTTTGTTTGGAATAGTCGTCCTACTGGTGTTTAAACTCGTAACGGACATAGAAGTAGGTCATGCATCAATACAGATAGATAAAAAAACTTCTACATATAATGGAATACAATAAAGCATTAAAATTTTGATTTTTAAATAGTATATAAAATATGTGCTAATTATTCATTGCTAAACCTGTTTTATTTTTTAGAATCAAACATACACACCAATAGTTGTAGGTTTGTTGCAATTGACAGTGCCTTTTTTGCCAGCTACAAATTTCTTGGTTACCGTAGGTTTTGTAGTAGCTGAAAGAGTTTTGTATATACCCAGGTACGTTATTTTTGCACGATCTAATTTATACATCATTTTCCTGAACTATATTTTTTTAAGTTTGGTGAATATGGACTGATTCAGTAAAAAATATTTCCCAACTAGGCCTTGGAAAAACCTTTGTCAGAGCGTAAAATTATTCTTTTTATGAATCCGTTTGAATTTAATTTAGAGCTGTGTGTTATTATCATAGACATGGCTTGTATCTCTGTCTTTTTCGGTCATGGCCTACTTTAAAAACATTTTTTTATCACTGTTTACAAAATATTAGAAACGTTCATATTAAATTATAATAGTTCAGGAAATAAATTTAAATTCCAGTTGATTTTGTTTGAAAATTAAAACAGCTATTAACATATTTTTTTTAGTATGGGGTATATATTATTGGTTGTATATGGGCTACAAATACTTTGGTACAAATACACCAAACGTAGACAAACTCTAGCATCGTTGTTATTGTTATTTTTGGTCACACAGGGTTTGAGAACGGTAATGAGAAACAGGGATTGGAGATGCAGAGAAAGTTTGTTGAGGTAAACAAAGGAATTTTTAGTATTTTGCTTGATTTATTACTATAATAATTGTGTCATTATAATCAAAAGAGTAATAAAATATGTATAATAGCGTATATTGAAATCAGGTGCGTGTATATAACAAGATATAAGAGACTTAACACGGAACCCTGCGGTACTCTAGACTGTCTTCTTGGCATTGATTTAAGCACCAATTTAAAAATCTTATTATAATATTGCTTTATGATGTTTGATAGTGTTATGTCACTTGTGTTAATACAAGATGGTTTGTGAAGAAAACATATTAGTATACGTTTTTATCCAATATGTATTTTTCTTTTCCTTTGATAATAAATTTTTGTTTATAGAAATAAAAATTGTAAAATTTTTATTATGTAATTATTTACTGCCAGATTTTCTGACACGTTTCTTAATAAGTAATCATTAAATGTTTCCAAAATATTTAGAATCTTCATACAATGTAATAAAATGTATATTAACTATTCATTTCATCTTTTAGTGGATGCATGAAAATAACTTTTTTCTTTGATTTTTATTATCTACTTCATTATGTTGTTAAATTATAATCTGTGAACAATTTTCTTTATCATAAATAGATGTAGGTACTAAATACAAACCAAAAACTATTATTATAGAATGGTACGTTATAAATAAACATCAAAATGATTTTATATCAACAACACATTTATGTAATGTTTTAAATCCTTTTGTAGTAATGAAAAAACAATCAACATAAAAAACTGATTAATTCTTGGAATTCTTACAATCAAATATCAATGGACTGTAACAAAACAACAAACAACTTTTAAAACTTTTAATAAACGTATCGGTTTTTTATATTGTTCAATTCATTTTAAATGTCTAAGGAGACTAATGAACATTTTAAACACGTACAGGGTGTTTTAAAAGTATCTGTTTCGGTAGATGTAAACAAATTTAACGAAATATGCTTAATTTTATGGAAAATATTTAACTATCAATAATATAAGGATATGAGTTTCTGGTTGAAAATTGTTTTGTTTTGTATTTCAGGTCTGGACTTAGAACGCTTCCACATAATGCTAAATTGCATTACAATTACGGTAATTTTTTGAGAGATACTTCTCAGCCTGATGTGGCTAAAACGCATTATATTACAGCTCTAAAGTAAGTGAATTTAAATTTTTTTTATAATAAAAAAAGAGATACAGGTTCAGGTATACAGGGTTGGGCAAAATTGACGGAATATCCGATTTGTAGCTCAATTATGGATTATTCTGAAAATTGACTTGAATAAACTTTTTCGTATATTTTATTTAATGCCGCTTGGGGATTTTCGTCATATGTCATAATTATCAAGATATGACATCATCGGATGAAATTTTAAATGAATCAGCATGTATTTATATTTTTTTTGTCAAATAGATCGTTTCTTTCTGAATCCATCAGTATGAGGTTCGGGTGGTCTCTGACTTACCTTATCTTAAGAAAATAATAAAACAGAAAGGTAAACGTTTTAAATAATTAATGAATGACTATTCACACAGTTGTCTGTTTCATAATGTACCAATTGTTTTGCCATGGATTCACTTTTCGACACTATAAATGTCATATTGACATCTCGATAATAATCACAATCATTCAGTTTTATTAATACGATTCTTGTTCATCTCTGACAGCAATACCTACCATTGTTTTTGTGTTACAGTTAACTTGTTTTTTATATGTCACCTTTTATTAGTCTGTAGATTTAAATTCATTCTGGTTTATGAAGACAATTAAACAAATTAAGTTTAATTCGAGAGACGCTAAAATGGTGGTTCTCACCTTATCTAGACTGAACCCCACAAGGGTAAACTCGTAGCGTAACAAAAACGAGAAATGATTTAACTTTGAACGAAATACCGAAAGCCGATAGTAGTATTAGCGGATTTTAAGAAAATTGTTATTAAAGTAGTTAGGATAAACCGAAAATTCTGAAGATCAATAGGGTTCTAAGTTGGAAGTAATTATTCAAGAAAATCAAAACCCCAAGTCAATCAGAACTTTCGTTCTAGAGTTATCGTGCCGGCTTACAAACATACAGACGACCAGATGCCATTTTTTTTTTGGATTTTCGGACTCATCAGAAACATGAAAAAAAGTTTTAAAAAATGGAGACAGAAATTTTTTTCGTCTGCACGAATGCAATACTGAGGCCCCATAGGAAGGGCCTCAGTAATTGCAAGTCTATTTATTTTACCCACACTAGCCCAATATTGACAATAAATAACTCTCAACATTTGATACTACTGAAGACTGTTTATTAATTTAAACCATGGTTGAACTGAGTGAACGTGAACGAATTACACTATTGATAATTATTGGGTTTGGAGACAAAACGATATGTCTGCAAGAAGCTTGTAATTGATTCAATGATACATTTCCATACAGGGTTTCCCCGATTTTTAAATCTACAGTATCCAGAAATTTGAGTAAGTTCAATGAAAAAGGAAGCGTGAAAAACAATCCCAGATCTGGACGGAAGAGCTATTGATGAAGAAAATGCACCTAATTTGGTTCTAAGTGTACAGAAAGAACCAAAAACTTTAGTTCCAAAGCTTGAGTTAGACAATAACATGAGCGAGAGATAAGGAAGATTATGAAAGCCAATAATTTTCATCTCTATAAAGTGAAATTACACCAAGAATTGAATGATGATGACCCAGATAGGCGAAACAATGGATGGATGCTATTAATGGAAATATATGTATAAACAATATTATTTTTTCCAACGAATCAACATTTTATCTTAGTGGATTTGTAAATAAACATAATTTCCGGTATTACGCAGCACCCTGCAGTAGCCTGCGGCTGTTATAGGAAACGTACGAATACAAAAAAAGAAGTGCAATGTTACTCATCGCCCTACAGTGTGCTGCGGTTGTCATAAGTAAAAGTACTAGTAAAATAAGATAGAATAGTCCAGAAATGTCTGGAAATGTCATTCCACGTCAAGAAAAAGTCTAGACAGTTTGAGAATGTTCGAGAAGCTTAAATCAAGCTATATAAGCAGGGATCCCGACGTCAGTTTCAGAATTTTGGGGTACTTCTATGTCTTCTTCTACTAGGACCCTTATCGGTTGAGTCTTTTCTTCCGAAATTAGGACAATTTGCTCGTTTCCAATTACTAAGATCTTGTTTTGAAGGTCGTTGATAAACTTATTTTGCATAATGTCCATACCAAGGACACACTGATCTTTAATATCGGCCACCAGAAATAAGTGTTTTATCAGGGTATTACCAATCTGTACGGTTGCTAATATCTAGACTAGAACAGGAGTAGTATGCCCTGTAGCTGTTTCCAGAACCAAGCTTCTTCGAGTTGGTCATGGTTTTCGATGCAGGATCCTTGTTCGAATGAAAGAATTAGTTGCACCAGTATCAAGGACGAAGGTGCCTTTTTGGTTATCGATATACCCCTTGACCAATAGATTTTGTTCGTTTTTATTTAAGGTGTAAGTTCGAATTTTGGGGTCTTCTGTTACAGCCGACGCCTGTCCCGTAGTGTCGACCTTTATTCGTTTCCCTGTCTATTGTTAGAAAGCCGGCTAGGTGTGGGTGAAGACGAGGTAGTATTTTCAGCTTCAACGTTGCCTAGTTGATAGACTAGGATATTGTCAGGCAGTTGGAGACTTTTACTTCAAACACTTACTTTGAAAGATTTCTGTACTTCGATTAATGTAAAATAAATATTACTTTTTAATACATAAATGTTTCTATTTTATTATGAACTCAGAGATCCTCAAACCCTACATTGATTGATTCAGAAAAAAGCTCTATCTAAAAGAAAATATAAATAAGGGAGATGTGAGGGGTAATGTATTTAAAATTTCATCTTATAGCGTCATATCTTGATAAATATGACAGATGATGAAAATCCCAAGCGTCAATAAATAGTGCATAAAATATACAAAAAACTTTATTCAAGTTAATTTTCAATACAACCCATAATTGGGTCACAAATTGAGTATTCCCTTTAATATGCCCAACCCTGTATGTACCTACTCTTGACTTACTTTTTTAGACTTTGGCCTACTTACGCCAGTGCCCATAATAATTTAGGAACGCTTTTAAGCAACAAATCTGAAGCTGAAAAACACTTTTTGGCAGCAATAAATTACGCATCTGACCATATCAATGCTCACTATAATTTAGGCCAACTGTATAGGTACAAAAACTTTTTTTTTCAATTTTTCTAAGCTATAAGATTTAATATTAGTTGAGGACTGCTTCACAATAAATGGAAATAATTAATTTTACGAAATTAAATGTTTTTACGAATCTATTTATTTGGATAAATGAAAGAAACAATTATGTAAAATTTAATAATTTGTTTAAATTATTGTATTTTAGGAAAACTGGAAGATATGATGAATCCGAAGATATGTTAAGAAAATGTTTATTGCTAGAACCAACATTCGCTCCGGCTTACGTGGAAATGTCAAAACTGTTGGGAGCTGATCATTCTTCCTTGTATAAAATTTTAAAAAATGCCTTCGATTTGAAACCCAACGATCCATTTTATGGTATTCAATTGGGACATTTTTTGGCAAGAAAAGGTAATGAATTTAATACAAATATTCGTTCATAAATAAATTAAGAGCTTATTTTTATTTTGTGATGCAATTTCCAATATTTTATTAAATTTTCCAGTACTATATTTTTTTATATTAAATATGCTAAATTAATAATGATGTAATTTTGGTTCCACTGATAATTGTGCATTTTGTTTGATTTGTTTAGGTACCTAAATTACCTATATAGTTGTTGAAACTTTTATAAATATATTCATATATTCTTAGTGAGTAGATAACATGCATCAAGTATATAATCGTTAATTAACTAATTGCATACCTTTAAACTATCTTTTATAACCTGCAAACTATATTTAGAAAATATTTGAAAATAGTAAAAACGTATATTATGTCAAATTCAATGGTGTTTTTTGTTAAAACTTTGGTTAGAAATTAACTGGCAGTGGAACCAAAATTGCGTCACACTAATATGTCTTAGAGGGAAAGCCCACATGTCGCGCGCGACCTGCTGCATGCGATTTTTTAGGTGCGATTTTTAACAGACGACAAGCAGCGACACAGACGTTCAGTATTAAAATAGAGGTGGAAAAAGTAGTAACGGTGTTGTTTTATTCTGTTCGTCGGCGGAAAAAATTGAAACGACGTAGGTACTGGGTTCATCCATTATTTATAGCCCTTATGTAAAAGGCGCATTTAATTTATTACATAAGGATTTACGTCAACACGAGGATAAGTTCTTCAAATATTTCAGAATGAGAGTAGTGTCATTTGACGAACAGATTCCCGAACAAATATTTTTTTCGCTTTTTTATTTCAATTAACTGTTGAGGTCGGTCTTGAATATCGGATATAAATTCATCTATATCAATACAGCTGTCGGACATTTTTTCACTGGAACTGTCGAAAAGTTACCAGGCAACTCCAACTCTCAACTGGCGTTTCGCACGCGACTTGACGTTTGTATGAGTGATGCTCCATATAATATGAATCCATAATAACGCTGGCCGCGTGAGGCAGGAAAATCGCGGGCTTGTCATTTCTAATTTTCAGCCGCGTGCGACCACGCGACAGAACCGCGTTAATGGGCTTTGAGGGAAAGCCCACTTACGCGACATGTCGCGCTTGACTGATCGCGCGCGGCAATACTTTTGACTCAAAGCCCATTAACGCGGTTCTGTCGCGTGGTCGCGTAGTCATTTAAAAACATCAAAAGTACTGCCGCGCGCGACTGATCGCGTGAGTGGGCTTTCCCTCTTATTTAGCAACTGATCAAATTTTCTTATTAATTACTGGCATATAATTGTTTCTATGAATCGTTATAGTCCAAGAAAATTTACTAAAACCTGTTAATGCATTCACCCCACATTATGGAGGGTAGAGGAAAGGAGAACAATCTCTGTATACAAAAAGTGTCCCTCAAAATGAATACAATTAAGATGGCGCTTCTGTGCCCAGGGGACGTCGACAGTCGATAATTCAGATCACACAATGACACCAATGATGTATATAGTAATAAATATTGCTCAACCATAAAATACTAAAAACTACACCGTGAAAAGTGACTGATCGTAGAAGAGTAAGTGTTCTGTGATCGTAGATAAATTTTGACAATACACGACAATAGTCAAATTTTATTGAAAAATAATAATATAAACAATAAATAATTCTTATGAATGAGCAATCTATATGACTATATAGCATTGGAATTTGTCCCCTGGCTACACGAGCGCCATCTTAATTGCATACATTTTGGTGGCCACTTTTTAATATAAAGATCCATATAAGATTGTCCTCCTTTTTTCTACCCTCCATACCCCACATACTTTGATTACTATACGGTGCAAGAGAGAGGTCCGACACGCCCAACATAGGGCGCTGCCATTTTGATTTCTATGCCATAGTTTATAGCTAAAGAATCAGATCGCTTACTCTGCGTCGGCACTTTTGATCTCAATGTTTCAGTTTATACACTGCGCAACTCGGATAAAACAACATATGACAACCGCCTATAATAAAACAGCAGTCTTCTGCATATCCTGAATTTGTACCCTGGAGTGGATGTTATTTTGGAACTTTCAACTGGTCCGAGTGAGCTAACTGATTCTTTAGCAATAAACTGTGACTCCAAAAATAATATTCACTGACACTGACAGTTGCAAGTAAAATATCAGGGGCGTTTTAATCATCCGCTTCTGCTTCCGGAATTGTCGGTTTAGTCGTTTCAACCTGTCAGATTAAAACAAGAAAACCGACAATTCCGAAGCAGAAGCGGATGATTAAAACGCACCTATTAAAAATATTGCGCCAAGATGTAGGCAACACGTAATAAGGGATCAAAATGGCGGAGTTTTCTATCTCCTTTTAAAAGGCACTCAGAAAGCTGCGGTGCGACTATTCTCTGTATAGTAAAAGAAAATCAAAGTATGTGATTTACCCGTTTATAAATATCCGAACCTTTAGAGGAATATTTCGTATAAATATCTTCGAGCATATATATTTCATAGAGTCCGCATACAAATAGTGTCTGTTTGGGTTCAGAGAGGAAATGCCTGCGGACACTACAATCAGTGTCGTATCATTTTTACGGCATTTGAAATTAATATAAATAATAAATTAAATACATACCCTCAAAATACATTTTTTAAATTTGGCACATGTTTTATAGACTTGCATTTAAGTTTTTTAGTAATAGTAAATAATTATTATTTAAATCAAATAAATAAATAATCAGTTTTTACTTTCCTATATTCAGAAGAAAAGTATATACTCCAATAATTAAAAGATCAGATGACTTACCTGTGAGGAAATTTGATCACAATTGTACGACTATTTTGTCGAAGGTATTACACTTTATAGTCCCGCTCGAGCTACCATTTTTAGAGATCTATTCATACCTAAAAAGAAAATACCATACTTCTATTTCGCGATCGTATCGACAGTCCAGTAGCCACTTCCCGTGAGATCGTATCCTTTTTCGTCGTCGGTCACAAACGACACTTCTTGAGAGAAATCTGTAAACTGGGTCGCCAGTAATAGTGGAGGGAATGCAACAAATTTTGCACTAGAAGGTCCTTTCTTGATGATATTGGGTGGGTTTGTAATACCTTCGACAAAACCAGTCGTATAATTATGATCCAATTTCCTCACAGGTAAGTCATTTGATCTTTTAATTGTACTTGCTGGTTTTGTCTCGGTATTACACTTTGTAAATGTTAAAGAGCGACCACAGTTTACTACCAGGGGCTCGATTCTCGAGTTCATTGGAAAAATTTCCCATGGGAAAAGATTCCACTACTTATATTCCCATGGTAATAAGTTATGCAATTCTCGAACTTGTCGGAATAGACATTCCCATGGAAATAATAGTTTCACGTATGTCTGATATTAAGTTCACGAATATTTCGAAATAACCAATAACATTAAAGATATTTTAAAATTTACTGTTGGTATTATTTGTATTTGTTGTGGTTTTTGGGTAACCGATTACCTGCCGAGCCTCTGCGCTGGAGCAGATGCCGTGCCGAGCAATCGCTAGCTTGACCGAGGACAAGTGAAAATATTCGATTATGTATAATTAAAACTTATCGAGTTATTTTTAGTTTTTCTTTTCACATATTGAAAAAAGAAAAAGTAGCTTTTGTATAGAAGAGCAACGAAAGTTTCGAGAAACTATATATATATAAGAAATTCTTTCGTTAACGGAAATAATAAAATTTTTGAAAAGGTCTTATTAAATTTACTACAAATTTCTCAATTTGTGTTACCTATTTGCCAGTCCCTTAGCAGCTCCCACAATTTCTAACTAATTTAAGAAAATCAGTTTCTTAGTGAAAGAGAGGTAAAAATAATATACCCACATAAATAAAATAATATCAATTTATAAATACACAAAAAACATGTTTTAACTACAATTTCACCAAAAATCCAAGATATCCAATAATCTTTGGTTATGTCTTAGTCTTTCGCGTGGTCTTTCGTCAAATTTTCGACTTTAATGCGCAAACTCTAGTACAATTCCCATTGGAAAACACAATTTCCAATGCTTGCAAGCAGGGGAATATTTTCCCATACTTCTCATTGGAAAATATTCCACCGCTTATGCCGAGAATACGAAAACTGAATTCCCATGGGAAAATTGTATTTTCCCATGGGAATAAAAGTCGAGAATCGACCCCCAGGGCCTCAATTCTCGACTTTTTTCCCATGGGAAAAAGATAATTTTCCTATGGGAATTTATATTTTGTATTCTCGACACATCCACTAGGAATATTTTCTCATGAAAAGTATGGGAGAAAATACACCTGGTATTTGGCATGGGAAATCAAATTTCCAATGGGAATATTGGTAATGAATTATAACGGATTCTACTGAATCTGTCACCAGTGACATTTGCTAGTTACTTCAAATAATAATATTTTGTAACGGTCAATAAAATCTATAAGTTGAAATTAAAGAAAATTAACGCAAAATCATGTATAATTAAGAAATAATTGAAGTTATGAATCACCTGGTATATCAAACCGCAAAGTAACAATAATTAATAAATAATGTGCATCATTTTTTAGTCAAATGAATTAGTTTGACCAGAAGAAAAGACGAAATAAGTCTCAAATAATGAGAATAATTATGAATAAAATAATAATAATACATACAAAAATTTTGACTAATAACATAACACTTACAATTTTGCTTTAACAGGTTTGTGAAGTACAAATAAAACAATAATTTGCAACTTGTAAATGAGTCCTTGAGAATATTGCATACAAATAAGACTGATCTCACTGGTAATATCATAGTATCAGTCAAGCCGTTAAAAAAATCCACAGGAAACAGTTTTCTCCAAATAAGTGCAGGAAATCTACAAAGAATAAAGTTTATAACAATAAATAATTAGGAAAAAAATGATAAATAGATAGAAGCATGTAGGTTAACGATCAATAAACAAATTAAACTAATAAACTCAACTTAATAAGAGAAAATTAAGAAACTTTATGCCTGACAACAAAACACATATTTTATTGAGT